CTTTTGTGAGATACTGCATGTTCCATATATTGATTATTTGATTTGATAACATAGTTTATAAATAAATAACAATATATTTAATTTATATTATTTCACAAAACATGTTTCATGTCATATTCAGCATCAATACAAGTTTTGTAAGCAGACCCCCTTAGTGGAAATTGTCTTTAAACATTGCAGCTAGACTGATTTTCCTCTCTAGTCGGTCCTCTCACACATCACCCCTCTGCCAGTCCTTACATTGGCTCCCTGTATCCTATAGGAGTCAATTCAAAGTGCTAACCCATACATTTAGAGTACTGAACAATTCTAGCCCCTCTTATATCTCCTCAATGATCCATAGGTATGCCCCTCCTCGTTCCCTCCACTCTGCCAGTGACCACCTCCTGACCGCTGCTCGCACCCATACGGCCAACTCACGCTTGCAGGACCTCTCGCATGTGGCTCCTTTCCTATGGTATGGCCTGCCTACCGCCGTCAGACTCTCCCCTAGTCTTCAATCATTTAAGAAGAGCCTTAAAACCCATCTCTTCAGGAAAGCTTATAGCCTCCCAGAGTAACCTCTACCTTACATGCCTGTCTTTTGCTCTCTCCTATAGGGTAGTGCTTTACTCTCTCCTCCAGCTCTGCTTCACTCCCACCCTATTTGATTGATTGATATTTCCTGTCCTAACGTGTCTTATACCCCACCTCCTATAGACTGTAAGCTCGTTTGAGCAGGGTTCTCTTCAACCTATTGTTCCTGTAAGTTTTCTTGTAATTGTCCTATTTATAGTTACATCCCCCCTCTCATAATATTGTAAAGAGCTACGGAATCTGTTGGCGCTATATAAATGGCAATAATAATAATAAGCATCTTCCTTGTATAAAAGTCAAAGTTAAACACTAATAATATCCTTATCACCTGTGTGTAAATTAGATAAGACTTGTAATTAGTCACAAGGTTCAATCATTGGCAGTGTTTTCTAAGAATTGTTCTCTGCTAGTAGAAAACATTTACCTTAACACATAACTATTTAATTTGGCATTCCTGCACATTTTCCAGGAACCCAATCAAATAAGAACAGTGTCTAATATGCTGTATTAAGGACAATTTGTGATTTTCCAGGAATTGACAAGTTTTAAAAGAGAGAAGGTCATCACTGAGGAGTATCACAGGCTGACCTACAGCATGCTTAGAGAACATTTGGTCAAAGACATTCTTAGTCTTAAAGTGGTTTGAATTTGCATCTTCCTTTGGACTTTTTTTTACTTGTTCCCTGATACCCTCATTCCATTCAATTGTTGTTTTTTAACTCCTATCAATTTTGGAAATATGTGTGCATAACTGTATAATCTTATAATGTATTTATGCTCTACAAAACACTTTGATCAATCCTAGATTTCCAAAGTCAGGTCATGTCCTTACCTTTTTGTGTCACTTTACCCCACTCCCTCTAGCATGTAAGCTCATTGAGCAGGGCCCTCAACCCCTCTGTTCCTGTGCGTCCAACTTGTCTGGTTACAACTACATGTCTGTTCGTTCACCCATTGTAAATCGCTGCGGAATTTGATGGCGCTATATAAATATCATAATAATAATAATAATGTCATAACATACAGTATGTTGGGCTATGTGATTGTTGTGTATTATATCCTCTGCACTGCAGTAATAGTAAGATTGTATTGTGTCTGTAACAAAGATTTTCTTGTAGTTGAAAAAAAAAACCAACAACAATATCCTGAACATTTTGCATACTTTATTTAACAACTACATTTGAAAGAGACATTCTGAAATGCAGCCATTCTGCTTAGTGGAACTAATCAAACACTAACATTTTGTACCACAAATAAGGCCTGGATCAGGAGTCTGTGAATGTTTTTAAGAATTGCACACCTTATTCTTTGATGTACTGTGGGAACAATATGAGAGCAAGGCTTGCTTGTTTTTGGGTGTGGGATGATGGAGTCTTCTTTGGAGGCATGACCATGGCATAAAGGTTTGCTAATGTACAAAATATACTTTATCGGATAGTAGTAAAACATAGAAACATAGTCTCTGTATTAGTTATATATAACTTACCATAGGGCCTCTGTATTAGAAACATAGAATGTGATGGCAGATAAGAACCATTCGGCCCATCAAGTCTGCCCAATTTTCTAAATACTTTTATTAGTTCCTGGCCTTATCTTATAGTTAGGATAGCCTTATGCCTATCCAACGCATGCTTAAACTCCTTCACTGTGTTAACCTCTACCACTTCAGCTGGAAGGCTATTCCATGTATCCACTACCCTCTCAGTAAAGTAATACTTCCTGATATTATTTTTAGACCTTTGTCCCTCTAATTTAAGACTATGTCCTCTTGTTGTGGTAGTTTTTCTTCTTTTTAATATAGTCTCCTCCTTTACTGTGTTGATTCCCTTTATGTATTTAAATGTTTCTATCATATCCCCCCTGTCTCGTCTTTCCTCCAAGCTATACATGTTAAGATCCTTTAACCTTTCCTTGTACATTTTATCCTGCAATCCATGAACCAGTTTAGTAGCCCTTCTCTGAACCCTCTCTAAGGTATCAATATCCTTCTGAAGATACAGTCTCCAGTACTGTGTACAATACTCCAAGTGAGGTCTCACCAGTGTTCTGTACAATGGCATGAACACTTCCCTCTTTCTACTGCTAATACCTCTCCCTATACAACCAAACATTCTGCTAGCATTTCCTGCTGCTCTATTACATTGTCTGCCTACCTTTAAGTCATCAGAAATAATCACTCCTAAATCCCTTTCCTCATATGTTGAGGTTAGAACTCTATTAAATATTCTGTACTCTGCCCTTGGGTTTTTACGTCCAAGATGCATTATCTTGCACTTATCCACATTAAATGTCAGTTGCCACAACTCTGACCATTTTTCTAGTTTACCTAAATCATTTGCCATTTGGTACAGAACAGACTATTTTGGGTGGCTGCGTTTGAGGACCACCACACATCTTTCTTTTGCACTGATGCTCCAAAGATAAGCTTTTACTGTCCTAATAATAAAATTAACCCCTTATCTACCAGTTTAATTGATTTAATTGAACTTTCATGTTGGGCATAGAGTTTCCTTGCTGGAAGTCAGGGCAATGAACATAAAATATCTTGTGATTTATCAGTGATTTCAAGGGTGTTTTTTCTACAAGGCTCCCCTTTAAAGACTCAACCTAGTAGGTTATTAGTGCTGTTTTCGTGAGCTATAAGGTCATGCGGGAGGTATTATTGTGGAATAAGCTGACCGGGGCTGGAGCCCCAAGTATGCTCTGGAAAAGTCCTGAGTATAAGTTTGGCACCCTTTAATTGCTAGTCATGAGTCTATGGCTGGGGAGAAAGCAGTAAGTGTTTGTAGTTCACCGACATTCTGGCACTGTATAGTCTCTTCTACTTACAGGATCAGTAGAAATGGTTACTGGAAAATCTGCACTTGGGATGTTAT